ATATTTTTGATGCCAATCGATAGTACTGATCCTTACGAGTCCAAAATGGTATAAAATTTCAAAATCGGACAGTATATGGCCGAAATATTCAAAAAAAACATCAACAAAGGTTGACTTTACAAACGAATCGGTTTTTGGTCAACCACTTTGTTTAACCCATCGATTTTTAAAATGTTTGAATGCAAATTGATAGTAGGGATCCCTACAAATTCAAAACGGTATAACATTTCAAAATCGGACAGTATTTACCCGAGATATTCAATAAAAATCATAAAAAAAGTTTTGATTTTCGAACCGACCCCGAATTTGAGAAAAAACGTGATGTAACCCCTTGCAATTTTGTTGATTTTGGTCAAAACTTCGATTTTTATATTTTTGATGCCAATCGGTAGTACTGATCCTTACGAGTCTAAAATGGTATAAAATACCCAAATCGGACAGTATTTGGCCGAAATATTCAAAAAAAACATCAACAAAGGTTGACTTTATTATCGAATCGGTTTTTGGTCAACCACTTTGTTTAACCCATCGATTTTTAAAATGTTTGAATGCAAATTGATAGAAGGGATCCCTACAAATTCAAAACGGTATAACATTTCAAAATCGGACAGTATTTACCCGAGATATTCAATCAAAATCATAAAAAAAGTTTTGATTTTCGAACCGACCCCGAATTTGAGAAAAACGTGATGTAACCCCTTGCCATTTTGTTGATTTTGGTCTAAATTTGGATTTTTATATTTATGATGCCAATCGATAGTACTGATCCTTACGAGTCCAATATGGTATAAAATTCCCAAATCGGACAGTATTTGGCCGAAATATTCAAAATAAACATCAACAGGTTGACTTTATTATCGAATCGGTTTTTGGTCAACCACTTTTTTCAACCTAACGATTTTTAAAATCAACAAAGGTTGACTTTACAAACGAATCGGTTTTTGGTCAACCACTTTGTTTAACCCATCGATTTTAAAAATGTTTGAATGCAAATTGATAGTAGGGATCCCTACGAATTCAAAACGGTATAACATTTCAAAATCGGACAGTATTTACCCGAGATATTCAATAAAAATCATAAAAAAAAGTTTTGAATTTCGAACCGACCCCGAATTTGAGAAAAAAAGTGATGTAACCCCTTGCCATTTTGTTAATTTTGGTCAAAATTTGGATTTTTATATTTTTGATGCCAATCGATAGTACTGATCCTTACGAGTCCAAAATGGTATAAAATTCCCAAATCGGACAGTATTTGGCCGAAATATTCCGAAAAAAACATCAATAAAGGTTGACTTTATTATCGAATCGGTTTTTGGTCAACCACTTTTTTCAACCTAACGATTTTTAAAATGAATGCAGATTGATAATAGGGATCCATACGAATTCAAAACGGTACAACATTTCAAAATCGGACAGTATTTACCCGAAATATTTAATAAAAATCATAAAAAAAAAGTTTTGATTTTCGAACCAACCCCGAATTTGAGAAAAAACGTGATGTAACCCCTTGCCATTTATTTGATTTTGGTCAAAATTTGGATTTTTATATTTTTGATGCCAATCGATAGTACTGATCCTTACGAGTCCAAAATGGTATAAAATTCCCAAATCGGACAGTATTTGGCCGAAATATTCCAAAAAAACATCAACAAAGGTTGACTTTACAAACGAATCGGTTTTTGGTCAACCACTTTGTTTAACCCATCGATTTTTAAAATGTTTGAATGCAAATTAATAGAAGGGATCCCTACGAATTCAAAACGGTACAACATTTCAAAATCGGACAGTATTTACCCGAAATATTTAATAAAAATCATAAAAAAAAAGTTTTGATTTTCGAACCGACCCCGAATTTGAGAAAAAACGTGATGTAACCCCTTGCCATTTTGTTGATTTTGGTCAAAATTTGGATTTTTATATTTTTGATGCCAATCGATAGTACTGATCCTTACGAGTCCAAAATGGTATAAAATTCCCAAATCGGACAGTATTTGGCCGAAATATTCAAAAAAAACATCAACAAAGGTTGACTTTACAAACGAATCGGTTTTTGGTCAACCACTTTTTTCAACCTAACGATTTTTAAAATGTTTGAATGCAGATTGATAATAGGGATCCCTACGAATTCAAAACGGTACAACATTTCAAAATCGGACAGTATTTACCCGAGATATTCAATAAAAATCATATAAAAAATATTTTATTTTCGAACCGATCCCGAATTTGAGAAAAAACGTGATGTAACCCCTTGCCATTTTGTTGATTTTGGTCAAAATTTGGATTTTTATATTTTTGATGCCAATCGATAGTACTGATCCTTACGAGTCCAAAATGGTATAAAATTTCCAAATCGGACAGTATATGGCCGAAATATTCAAAAAAAACATCAACAAAGGTTGACTTTACAAACGAATCGGTTTTTGGTCAACCACTTTGTTTAACCCATCGATTTTTAAAATGTTTGAATGCAAATTGATAGTAGGGATCCCTACAAATTCAAAACGGTATAACATTTCAAAATCGGACAGTATTTACCCGAGATATTCAATAAAAATCATAAAAAAAGTTTTGATTTTCGAACCGACCCCGAATTTGAGAAAAAAACGTGATGTAACCCCTTGCAATTTTGTTGATTTTGGTCAAAACTTCGATTTTTATATTTTTGATGCCAATCGGTAGTACTGATCCTTACGAGTCTAAAATGGTATAAAATACCCAAATCGGACAGTATTTGGCCGAAATATTCAAAAAAAACATCAACAAAGGTTGACTTTATTATCGAATCGGTTTTTGGTCAACCACTTTGTTTAACCCATCGATTTTTAAAATGTTTGAATGCAAATTGATAGAAGGGATCCCTACAAATTCAAAACGGTATAACATTTCAAAATCGGACAGTATTTACCCGAGATATTCAATCAAAATCATAAAAAAAGTTTTGATTTTCGAACCGACCCCGAATTTGAGAAAAACGTGATGTAACCCCTTGCCATTTTGTTGATTTTGGTCTAAATTTGGATTTTTATATTTATGATGCCAATCGATAGTACTGATCCTTACGAGTCCAATATGGTATAAAATTCCCAAATCGGACAGTATTTGGCCGAAATATTCAAAATAAACATCAACAGGTTGACTTTATTATCGAATCGGTTTTTGGTCAACCACTTTTTTCAACCTAACGATTTTTAAAAAGTTTGAATGCAGATTGATAGTAGGGATCCCTACGAATTCAAAACGGTATAACATTTCAAAATCGGACAGTATTTACCCGAGATATTCAATAAAAATCATCAAAAAAGTTTTGATTTTCGAACCGACCCCGAATTGGAGAAAAAACGTGATGTAACCCCTTGCAATTTTGTTGATTTTGGTCAAAACTTCGATTTTTATATTTTTGATGCCAATCGGTAGTACTGATCCTTACGAGTCTAAAATGGTATAAAATTCCCAAATCGGACAGTATTTGGCCGAAATATTCAAAAAAAACATCAACAAAGGCTGACTTTATTATCGAATCGGTTTTTGGTCAACCACTTTTTTCAACCTAACGATTTTTAAAATGTTTGAATGCAGATTGATAGTAGGGATCCCTACGAATTCAAAACGGTATAACATTTCAAAATCGGACAGTATTTACCCGAGATATTCAATAAAAATCATCAAAAAAGTTTTGATTTTCGAACCGACCCCGAATTTGAGAAAAAACGTGATGGTTGGTCAAAACTTGGATTTTTATATTTTTGATGCCAATCGGTAGTACTGATCCTTACGAGTCTAAAATGGTATAAAATTCCAAAATCGGACAGTATTTGGCCGAAATATTAAAAAAAAAAAATAACCCATCGATTTTTAAAATGTTTGAATGCAAATTGATAGTAGGGATCCCTACGAATTCAAAACGGTACAACATTTCAAAATCGGACAGTATTTACCCGAGATAATCAATAAATATAAAAAAAAAGTTTTGATTTTCGAACCGACCCCAAATTTGAGAAAAAACGTGATGTAACCCCTTGCCATTTTGTTGATTTTGTTCAAAATTTGAATTTTTATATTTATGGTGCCAATCGATAGTACTGATCCTTACGAGTCCAAAATGGTATAAAATTCCCAAATCGGACAGTATTTGGCCGAGATATTCCAAAAAAACATCAAAAAAGGTTGACTTTACAATCGAATCGGTTTTTGGTCAACCACTTTTTTCAACCCATCGATTTGTAATTTGTTTTAATGCCAGTTTATAGTAGGGATCCGTTCGAATTCGAAGGGCTTTCCACATCCATAAACCCAGACCTAGGCTCTAACGTGGACTTATCGTGTGTTTAAAAACTTATAGAAATAATGTAATATCGAGTTTTATAATCTTTAGCCGTGCGCCTAATTAAAGTTCTACACTCAGTTTTCATACACCTTATAGGTATATTTATAAGAATGCAATGGTTGGGTCTTTTTGGCGCTGGGTCTTCCTCAAACGTTATTTATCTTAAGCCAAACTATCTTTTTAAAAATATTTGAGTAACTGTTTTGGCTTTAGGTTCGGTTCATAGTAAAAAATAAAGTAGAATGCCATATTTGAATCAGTTCGATTTGCTTTCTTGCCTTATAAAACTGTTACTGATTTAGCTGAATTTGGCAATTCTATGCCAAGACTTGCGACTGCGAAAGCTGCGACTTTGAAAGCACTTATGGCCATTAATCATCTGCCGCGCTCCACCCTAAGCTAGATTGTTTGGCAACAACTGCGTTTTAGAGCTCTGCATTTGATTAAGATGTAGTCGAAATCCATTAACGCCATTCTGCAGTTTTGGTGAAAGGCGTCGTCACAGGCTGCATACGCAATGAGTTGTGTCTCGAGAGTGTGCCGTGTGTGTGTGCGTGTGTGTGTGTTGTTGCAGCTCAAGTTAGCGTGACCAAAGAGCTGGGATAACTGCTAACCCACAATAAGTAGTTAACGCAGACAAGACTTAAATCTCATAAATAAATTTGTTCAATTCCAGCGAACAAGAAAGCCAAGCTCCTCAATGGCAATGGCAACGCCAACGGCAACAGCAACAGCAACATCAACGGCAACGGCAACGGTAATGGAGGCGCCTGCGCTGACGCTGCAGCAGCAGCAGCAGCAGCTGCCACCGCTGGCAACGGGGATGGGCACTATCAGCACGCCAATGGCAGCATCTATGGCTATGCGGAGGGCAAGCAACGCTGCGGCAGCAACAGCAACAGCAACAGCAGCAGCAGCTATCAGCCCTCGCACTATCACCAGCAGCAACAGTCGGTCTATGCGGCCAGCATCTATGGCGTGGGTTCATCCGCCGAGGATCACTACGAGCTGCAGCAGTCGCAGTATGGCGGCAGCTATAACGGGGAGGGCGCCGGCGTTGGCGTGCGCTCCGGTGGCCCCAATTTGGTCAACAAGCAGCTGGTGCTGCCGTTTGTGCCGCCCAGTTTTCCCAACAAATCACAAGACGGCGTCACGCATCTCATCAAGCCGTCGGAGTATCTAAAGAGCATAAGCGATAAGCGTTCGTGTCCATCCTCGGCCCGGTAAGTTAAGAAAGTCATGCCAGCCTCAGCTGCAGCTCTAGCTCTAGCTCCCAGCTGCATCAGAGAGTTGAGATGCAGTTGTAGCTGTTATTTATTTAGTTATTGTTTTTGTTTTTTTTTTTTTTTAATTTGGCTGCACATCTCGTGCGGCGGCAACATAAGTAATTACCACCAAAAGTGGCAGAAGTACAGTTGCCTTAATTAAGCTGCAGACAATGCCAGCGCATGCTCACGCCGATCGCTGCCTGGGCGATGGCTGGGGGCTGGCTGGGGGCTGGCTGGGGGATGGGGGCAATTAACAGCACCACTCGCGAGTCGCGAGTCGCGAGTCGGCCGCACTTCCTCAGCGGCTCAAGAGTGCATGAAATTTTATGCGTGCTGCATGCCAGGCCACTTTTGCCAACTGGTTCGCCTCGCTCCGATCAGTTGCAATCCAAAGATGATACTGCGCACACGACACGCCTGGCGCAGGTCCGGCCCACATCACACATTATGCCACACACACACACGGAGACACACACTGAGACACACCCACACAGCTTTTCATCAAATATTTAACAATCCTTATTTGTTGCAGCTCCACGGACACGGAGGACTACATGCAAATCCAGATCGCACAGCAGCAGCATCATCATCATCAGCATTCGCACCAGCATCCGCACCAGCATCAGCATCATTCGCATGCTCTGGGCGTGGGCGAGCAGCCACCGTTGCCGCCGCCGCCGCCACCGTTGCCGCATATGATGCCGCCGCCAATGCCAATGATGCTGTCGGCAATGGCTGGCGATGCCACCAGCAAGTCACAGAAGCCCAAGAAGCCGCACGGCTCAGCTGGGCCCAGCAGCCAGGATACGGCCACGCGCAAGCAGCATCAGCCGCTGTCCGCAATTTCCATACAGGATCTGAACAGTGTACAGGTGAGTTGTATCCCAGATGGAATGGCCATATAGAATGCTTATACCTGACTAGCGGATATAGCCCGGCTACTTAATATTTTGAATTTGGAAAATAAGTTTAAGGCCGATTAAATGAGAATTATACTTTCGGTTAAACTACCGATTGGGAATTTTCTTGTACAGATCTTCGAAACTTGAAACAAATCGGATCAACGCGTAGTAATTGCTAAACGTTCGTCCATATTTGATCCGCTAATTCACCTTGGGAGGTGGATTTTGTGAAATGTGAGAAACACATCTCGGATCTTAATAATGATCTAGTTAAAATGTTAATAAATATCTTTGAAAATTAGTTTGAGTCTGATCGAAGGGTCAGCCGAATGGTTTCATGTATTCGTTTTCCACCAATTTTCCACGGTTGCGGGTGGAATTTCTCAAGCAATCAGCTTTCCAGCTGTTAGGGTGGTCAGTCGGTCAGTTAGTCAGTCAGCCAGGATAAGCTCTTTCATATGTATAGGCGGTCAAGTTAGTCTGTTCGTCTGTTTGCAGGCAATCTAGTGTCCGAGTTTTAAGTTTTGAATCCGATTCGATCGAAGAGGTAAATCATGTAGTCACTGATACAGCCGTACGAAAATAAGTTCGTTTGCTTTTCTTATATCTTCTATATCTTAAATAAAATCATCAAATAAAAGTTTTATTTTTTGTTTTCGCAACATTTTAACTAAATTAAAACACACTTGGATTATCATACATAGTTTCCAAAAGCATGTTATAAAATATAACTAAGCAAAAATCGAAGAAAAGCCTGGCAACATTTACCAGCTGTGTAGAGTACATATGTATACATTTTCAGATATCAGATATCATAGCTTAAGCGACAGCAAGAACCTTAGAAAGCCATTCGATCAATAGCCCAATCCCTGATCCCATTTAAATTTCTGTACAGTTGCGACGCACGGACACACAGAAGGTGCCGAAGCCCTACCAGATGCCGGCACGCAGTCTGAGCATGCAGTGCCTGACGACCAGCACGGACACATATCTGAAGACGGATCTGATAGCCGAGCTGAAGATCTCAAAGGATATACCCGGCATCAAGAAGATGAAGGTCGAACAGCAGATGGCCAATCGCATGGACTCGGAGCATTATATGGAGATAACCAAACAGTTTACGGCCAACAACTATGTTGATCAGGTGAGTCGCAAGGTTGCCGTGCCGATGGATGCGGGCTGCGGGGTGGGGGCTGTGAACTGGATTATCATGCGTGTCAAAGATCTACTTACAGATACCAGAAAAGGATCAGGCCGGCAATGCCATACCCGACTGGAAGCGCCAGATGATGGCAAAGAAGGCAGCCGAGCGGGCCAAAAAGGACTTTGAGGATCGCATGGCCCAGGAGGCGGAGTCGCGTCGCCTCTCGCAGATACCCCAATGGAAACGCGACTTGCTGGCTCGTCGCGAAGAAACTGAAAACAAGCTGAAGTAAGTGGTGGGGTGTGGGGGCATAAGGTGGCGCAGCTGGCGGAATCCTCTCTCTGACCTGTGCTCGCTGTCTGTGCCATTTTGCAGAGCGGCCATCTATACGCCCAAAGTGGAGGAGAATAATCGCGTGGCGGACACCTGGCGCCTCAAGAATCGCGCCATGTCCATCGATAACATCAATCTGGCCACCTGCAGCGCCGCCGGCGGCCTCAATGTCGAGCAGCACTATCAGCAGCTGCAGCTGCTCCAGCAGCAGGCGCAGCAGGCGCATCCACAGGGCAACAAGGAGAACCACAGCGAAGGGTCCACAGCAGCCAAGCCCGGCGATTGCGAGCCACCACTGCTGCAGCAGCAGCAGCAGCAGCATCAGCAGCAGCAGCAACCACAGGATGCACTGGATCAGGGCGAGGACGATCAGGATGATAGCGACAACATCATTCCCTGGCGTGCACAGCTCCGCAAGACCAACAGTCGCTTGAGCTTGATCTGAGTTGGCCGTCTCCGCGCTTAAGTCTCTTGTAGTGCATTTTTTTTTGTTTATTTTTTTTTCTCTTTAATACGAATATATATAACTTAACGAATGTGCAATTATATCACATGATTTTCGATATTTCGATATGCGAGTGAATTACACATATACATATACACATACTTATATATATACATATATATATTATAATCTTAAGTAATCCATATTTGTAATGTGTTAAACGCATCCGCGTGCTCCAGAGGAGTGGCAAGCGTTTCGCGGCACCAGCTCGAGATCCAAGGCAAGCTTTAGACCCAAAAAAGTAAAAAAAAAAATAAAAACAAAAAAAGAACCGAAAGAAAATGAATGAATATACGATTGAGATATTGTGTATGTACTATGTAGAAATTATTATACGTATATAAATTTTTTTTTTTATTATTGTTATTCCTATGTTATACAAAATCAATCGGTTTGCATTAATATTCATAATTATTTAAACTTGCAGTAAATTCCAATTTGGTGTTGTGCGAATCTCGATTATTCGACTATTGATTATTATTATACATTAACGATATCATTTAACTATCGACTTGAATCATAATTACCTATTTAAGCTTCCATTTTTTTTTTTTTTATCATTGTTATTTGTTTTTATACTTGGCTCAATATATGATTAAAATAAAACTATACATATTAAAATTGCTCGAACTTTTATTGGGCGGGATTCCATTCAGGATCAGGATCCACCCGATTTTTGACAAATTTGTGATGTTACCCCTTGCTCTTAGATCGTCGGATGTATCCACGGCAGAGTTATGTTGTTTTCCAATGTCGGGCTTCGAACGAGTTCAAAGAGGTATACCATGCCACAGTCAAACTTATTTTACCCGTAATATCAACAAATTATAAATTCAAAACTAAAACATTCTTGCGTTACCTTTCGAAGCTGGCTCTTGAAATAAATGCTTTCCATAGAAAGCTTGACGAAAGATGTATTTGGAATAATTATAAGGTTTCTCAGCCAAATGATTGCAAGCATTTACTAAGAGTATCTATTTTATTTAGTTTGCGAAAACTTAGTCATGATAAAGTCAATTGTCCATTATTGATATATGAGAGCACACTTTGGATCGGTTTCAAATTAAATTTGTACCCAATTGATATTTATTAATTTGGCAGACTTTAAGTGATTAATTAAGACGGCTAGTCCGTACGTATATGCAATGTTCTATTGATAAGAGACTAACTGTTTCAAGTTAGTATAAACAGATATATAGTATACGAAATATTTATAGGTATACAAATGGCCATAGATAAATCGGGGCAAACAGTGGAACCACTTCACGCGTGAGCACTTCACAGCGATAGGGCCAAGAGGGCAATCTTTATAAAAATGAAGAGCCGTCAGTCCAGTCGATCATTCTGCAACCACAGTTCAGATAGCCAAACACTATGAGAACCATTACACTCTGTCTTTTGCTGCTCGTTTCGGCCAGCTGCCTGATCAGCTCGAACGTAAGTAAACAACTAGCGATGGCAAATTGGAACAAAAGTAAATACACACAAATTGCTTTCTTTTAGGCCAAGGCAACGGTTGACGATTCAATCAACTTCGAGGATGTGGATTTGGATGCACTGATTGATCAGCTGGATGGCGATTATATGGATGTGGAGGAGTTCGGCTTCATCAGATCGGTGCGCAAGGCCCTCAAGAAGGTGCTGAAAACAGTGCGCGGCGTCAACTGCACCATAAAGGAGGTCATTGAGGTGTTGAGCGCGGCCACCAACTATGTGGATGGTATTGATGCATGCGGCACAGCCGTGCCCAAGGATGTGGCCGCCATTGTCAATTCCTGCAAGACCATAATCTCCATCTGCAACGATATCATCAATCTGAACAGCAAGCTGTGCACCACCGATGATCCCGATTCCAGCCAGATGTCCTCCAAGAAGTGTTTCTGGCAGCTGTTCAAGGCTGTCATGAAGCTCACCAGAAAGATCAACACCACCCTGAAGCAGATCGCCAAGCTGCCCTCCGACACCAGCTCCTGCTTTCTCGATGCAACAAACGATGTCAAGAACAGCTTTAACAATTTCTTGCCCAATATCAACACTTGCGTCGATCAAATGTAAACATAGCTCAAAATTATAAAAAACATATATACTTAAAAACAAAAGTACCAAAAAATTTGTTTACAATATGAGTAAATAAATGAAATACAAGAGCAACTTTACGTTTTTTCAATCGAAGCGAATGGGGTATACATACAAACAAACATACTTGCAGACATACATAAACACATACACACATACATAAAAAACATACAACAAACACGCAACATAGCACACACATACATAATAAAAATAAATGCATACTTACATAAATACATGCTTGATTACTTGAATAATTACCTACTTACATACTTACATACCTACACACTAACATACTGAAATACTTACATACTTACATTCTCACATACTAACATATTTATATTGAAATAAAACATACCTTCAAACACACACACATGCTTACATGCAGACATACATAAATCCACTCATACATACATACACAACATACTATGAGAATCGCATAGTAGGGCAATATTCCAAAATACAATTGTTTTCATTTGCATTGCAGCGGAAGGCCAACTTGGTCTACGTTTGGTATGGCAAACTATACACATATGAATTACACATATACACACATACGGACAGACAAACATACATTTGTATAAACATAGATAATGCTATTAAAACTGTTTTGTCCGATTTCTTTTATAGAATTATTGTATTTGACATCGTTTAATGGATGGGCTGGCAAATTAGTTTGCGTACTCGAATTCCCGGTTATGTTGTGGAGAGTAGATTGAGCTAAAGCTAATAAAAACCATATAATAATAATTGAATACATATAAACTAAATATACCTAAAATAGTTAGCTCTGACTGGCTGACAGATTGGTGATTAACGCACGTGCGCGGGCAAGGCCGGCCAACACTCGCTAGTAATAAAAAATAAGTTATAGACTGCAAAAAATGCAAGATCAACGGCTTTTCTATATCGTTAAAAAAGCTTCTGGATTTACGATATGCACAAGAACATTTCTCAGCTCAAGAGCTCTATTATTTTTTATCAGTTCCCAAAGGGAACTAAGCGTTTGCAGCTGTGCAGTTGTTATCGTTAACTTAATAGCCAAACGATTCAAAGCCTTATCAAATGCCCAAACCCAATTGACTTATGCATTTTTATTTGCTTCTCTTATGGGTATATAATGGAGAAAAAAGAGACATGGTTAAATATGGCCAGAGCGCGGGCTGCCTACGAGCTGGTCAGCTTGGAGCAGGTCTTTATGTTGGCGGGGAACTGTGTGTAGTAGCTGGTCAGGTTGCTGGTGGCATTGGTGACACAGGTGATGGCACTGGGGCCAGTCTGGGGTATCTTCTTGGCCAGGGCGATGGCTTTCTTCACCTGTCTGTACAGGCTGAAGACCTGGGCCAAAGTCTTGACGGCACAGCTGTTGGTGATCTTCTGCTGCTCGGGCTCCTCGGTGCTGGCGCAAATGTTCGACTTCAGGTTGATGATGTTGTTGGCGGTGCTGATGATTTTCTGGTTGGCATTGATCAGATTGGTCACATCCTGGCTGGCATCGACGCCGCAGGCAATGATATCGGCATTGTACTGCAGAGCGCTGCCCTTGATGCCCACAACCCACTTGATTATGCAGTTGAAGCCCTTGACGCTGCGCAGGGCCGCCTTTATGGCCCACCACGTGGCCGAGAAGATGCCGAACACCTCCGGATCGAAGGTCTCCCCGTCGATATCAGCGAAATCGCTGGGCTCGTACTGCACGCCTGTGTCCGGCGCCATCATCAACGGTTGCCAGGTGCCAGCATTTACCTGTTTGGAGCAAACGAATCGTTAATCCTCAAGCTCACCCATTCGCTTGAAACCTGGCCAAATACTTACACTGAGCACGCAGACGGCTGCGAACAGGGCAAATAATGTGAACTTCATGTTGGGGTCTGCAAATGCTATCTCCTTGGACTGTGCCGCGCTTTGGGCCTTTTTATAGTGCGCCATGGTCTTGGCTAGCGATAACAGAAATAACTTAATAATGCTCGAGCAGTTCCAATCATTTATCGAGTCGCCTATCTAGCTATCTACCCATCAATTGTACCAATACAGGCACAAACCTCAGGTGGGCTTAGTTCAAGCACCTGCGGGTAGCACCTTTGCGGCCTTAGCAGCGGCTACTTTGGGGCGTGCTTCGCATATCAGCTGATGAGCTGATAACCAGACTTTGAATCTTTGTCTGGTAAAAACGGCGCAATTAAAGCGCTTATCAATGGACTTTTCTATAGAGTATGCATATATTAATATTATTTAATATGGGATATGCAAAACTAGAAATAATTTAAGCTAGAATATACGAATTTTGTTGGAGCTCTCTCTGTCTCTCTGTCTCTCTCTCTCTCTCTCTCTCTCTCTCTCTCTCTCTCTCTCTCTATCTTACTCTCTGCTCTCTCTTCTTCGTGCCAAACAAAACTCCGTATAAATTGTATTATAAGCTTGTTTTCCTACTATCTTAGCTTGTGGTTTATAATTAATAACACCTATCTACATATATAGACAAAGTGCATCAAAGATAAAGAATATTCCAGTTTGTTTTAAAACTATTTGACTAATAGATCTGCAAGACAGTTTTCATCAAGTTTACTCGCTACGAAATCTAAAGCTCGAATCTTTTGAAGGAAATCTAACACATTATTAAATTAAGATAATCTGATTAGCTCATTATGTGAAAGAAACTGTGAGACAGAAAATATCTCAGCTGCTTTTCACATTTCACATTCAAACATAGTCATATAAGATCCAAGATCAGATCACATTCTCACAGATTATGTATTAGCTTAATATTATAAACCAGCCCAAAAGACAAATTGAGAAAACGGTTTGCTGTGAGTTTGAAATACCAAAAAAAAAATTTATTTTATTTATAGTAGAGTGTCCGAAAATTAATTGATTAGCATTTTGTTATTGATGATATTTTTTTGCTGTCAAATATTGTGAATAAGTTTTCCATACATATTGCATTTATTTATAATATAATATAACTTTC